TCGTTGATGAGTGATTTTCAAAGCTTGGGACGTTGTTAGTTCTCCTCGTGGTGTCATGACGGTCAGAATGATATATAATGTTGCAGGGTTTCATTGAGACCCCGCGGAGATCTACTACCAGAGCATGCCCCGTCGGCTCTGGTCTGTCTCCGCTGCTCGTCTGCGTCTCCGCGCGCTGCGCGCCAACTCGCTACCCCAAACGCGGGGCGCGGGGCATTTGGCTCTGGTACCCTTTTCTTCGCTGTTTCGAACCCAATTTTAGCAAACTATATATCATTTTGAAGCTCTTGAACTCTATTTTCACGCTGACAACGTCTCAGAATCACATTTTTTGATTTGATCGAGAAATCCGGCAAAAACCTCCTTTTCGAAAATCTCTTGTTTTTCTCTTTTAGTTTAACTATATTCACGCGGTTTTTTCGTGCATTCTATAGATCCTGCTTCTGTTCATAATGCAGACAACCACCCAGCCTTTACTTCTTCGATCATGGTGGAATTTTTTGCGAAAAATGCTAAAAAGTGCGTTTTTCTTTATCCTGTTCTGTTTCAGTGCTTTCGCAGCGATTTTATCCAGCTTGCGCGGCAATCCAGACAAAGTCTCTCGAAAACAGGAACAACAATGCGGGGTAATTTTCAAAGGACGCCTTAAAAACTAGATCGGGCAGTTCAACTTAAGATTAGTAAACCAAGCTTCATTTTCATAACAAATTCTTCTATCGTCCATTTCCTTCTCGATAATCACCACGTCCAAAATATGGTCGTTTTTGAAACAATCTCAAAGGGGAAGCTTTGCCTCTTTCCCTCCCCCCCCCCCTCCCTTGTTGTGGATTGCCTGGTACTTGAGCGAAAACCTGCAATTCGAAATATCGCTAAATGAAAAATTTCAGACTTTTTCCAGCGGATTTTTAAGAGTTCCTTTTGCTGATGCTACTTGTTTTGCATTGTTTTTTTCTTCTCTGATTTCCCTAAACAACCTTCACTTTTTATGAGAGATATTATTCAAACACCATTATTTTTGAAGACCTATCTTTAGACTGCCGAAAGTATCCACTGAAATTTCATGCTCACCTAGACTTTGTAAGAAGTCATCGGCATTGCCCTTCATTGTTTGTGGAAGCATCCACAGAATCCACACATTCATCCAAAAGTTTTGTAAATTTACATAAAAGCTTTGTATCACCTCATTTGGAGTACGCATCATTTGAGGCTTTTACAGAAAAACACTGAAATGTTAGAGGAGACTTGAAAGATTTGAACTTTACAAAATCGGCTTCTATGGATACTTCCCAGATTGAGCTATCGGCAGTTATTACTATTATATCGTTTTGGACCAAAAACCTCAAAACTTCAAAGCCTGAAACACGGTCGGTCGTATTGCAAATGATATGTGTTTTGCTTTCCTATTCTGCGTCTCCGACCAAGATGTTAGCAGCAAGCACTTTGAAGGACTTCATTAAAGGACTTCGTGAACATATCTAACCATCGCCTCGTCCTCCTCGTTCGCGTTTGACGTCCAGTGGTATCCATTCTGTTATAGCTCTCGTCTACCGGTTGTTGTCGAAGCACATTACGTGCCTGGCCCATTTTATCTTGTTCTGCTTGGCGTATGCGGCAGCTCTCTGATCTAATCGTTAAAGTAGGGTAGAACTTCGTAATCCTTGTCCCAATTGCGTGAGAGTGTTTACTCCCAGCATCACTCTTTCAACAGCACGTTCGATGACGCTGATTGTGCGTTCATCCTTTTCCTCATTGTCCATGTTTCTGACAGGAAGGACCGTCGAGTTGAAAAGGTGGGCGCGGAGCCGGGTGTTCTTGGTTTCTTCACTACGTCCTCAATTGTCTATATGCTTCCCATGCAGCACGTTTCTTCCTGTTTAGTTTCGGAGCTAGATCGTTCATCATATCGAGCTCGGCCTAGGTAGGTGTAGAAGCATTCGGTGATGTTTGTATAGTTAAGCATGGAAAAATCATCAGGCATTCTTCCGCTCCTCATAAACGTCGTTTTCCTTAAATTTAGCCGTGGACCGATCCACACACTTCGTCGAACCGGGCCAGCATTTTTCCGCCTGCGTGATGTGGTGTTATCAATACGATGTCATCAACAAAGCGAAGGTGGTATAGTTGTCGGCCGTCGACTTTCATCCCATGTCGTCCCATTCAAAACTTATGCATGACGCTCTCGAGGGCGGCGCTGAATAGTTTCGGCGATATAGTATCGCCCTGTCGTACGCCTTTCCTCACGTCGATGATGATGTCCTTGTAGAATGATGTGATGCTGGTTGTAAAGTCGTTATACTGCTCACGAATTATCTTGACGTACTGAGTAGGGATGCCTTGATTGCTCAAGGCATCGATGACAGCTCATTCTCAATCGAGTCAAAGGCCTTTTTTAGGTCGATGAAGATGAGACAGGGCGGCAACTTATACTCTCATGACTCTTCAGGTCTTGACACCGTGTACATGTGGTCTATCGTGCTGAATTCTATTTCAAAACGAGCTTGCTCGCACGGTTATCATTCATCTAATCCTATTCCGATCCTGATGAAAATAACTCGAGTAAAAAGTTTGTAAACTATAGACAGCAGGCATATAGGGCGATAATTACCAATGTAGCATGGATCTTCCTACTTATACAGCAACATTGTCGTGCTGGTCTTCCACTGACTTCGAACCTTGCCTTCCATTCAGGTACCGCATGATGCCAAGGTCTGATGAGGGCTGTTGAAAGATTTTTTTCCACATTCCGTTTTTTTTCCGGTTTTTCTTGTCGGAACTGGGTGCTGCACAATTCTTCATCGACGTGATAGCATGAACAGACGATGCGACATACTCGTCCTCCCTGAGGTGACTTGAAGGAAGATAGAGAGCGTTAAAGAGGTCTTAGTAGAGGTTGTGGATGACCTTCTCCATTGATTTTCGGGAAGCAGTTATGGTCCATCAGAACGACGAAGTGCGGTCATCTTTGCCTTGAAGTTGACGAACTTTCGGCAGGCGTTACTCGTATACTTCATCCAGCCTCTGCGGCGTCAACCATCACTGCTACTCCTCTCTCCTTGAGGTCTTCTTTTATCGCTTCCCTGCATCGCTTCGCAAGATCGGACGTCAACCTGTAGTTGCCTGTGGCTCGCATGTCCACGTTGACGTACAGCTTCAAAGTCTCCGTAGTGAGACTCATTTTCGTAGGTCTCAGATTCTGAGCTTCCTTAGCACAATCATGGAGATGTTGACCGAACCGTTCGTATCCTCCGTCGATGTTTTCGATTACTGTATCTTCTCGCCATGAGCAGGGTATCGAGAAATATGGGACGATGTTTCCTAAAGTTGACGGCTCTTTCTTCATTTCGTGGAAAATAGAACTTGGCATGTAGGTTGCGATGGTCTGATCCCGTATAGAAATTCGCAACAGCAGCGACATCCGTCACGCGATACCTTCTGTTGATAATGTGGTCCTTCTTGTTTTGGTACTCTTCAACGGGCGATGTCCAAGTTCAGCGTCGAGAAGGGGAACTTTAAAACTGAGAGTTTTCGTGGATAGTGCTCGTTGTCATGATAAACTTGGACACTCTTCCCCCTTGTTCGTTCTTCCACTGTAAGCTATGGGTTCCGATGCAAAGCTCCGAAGCAACCTTTTGAGTCCGTTCTTCGAATGAATCACCTACGATGATCTGGCAGAGGGTGTGATCTTCTTTGTGGAACATAACAAGTCAGGTAACACATACCTGATCTTCCCTGCTTGCAGCATAAGGTTTTCAGTAAATGCCTCCGTTGCCAGGACAGTTAAAGTTGTCTGATTCGTTTTGGCAGCTTAGATCGAACTTCAAACCTTGTCCTGACTGGAGCTGCCTTACCAGTGGATTTTCCAAGATCAAAGGAAAACTCCATACTCTTACTGTGTCAGTTATTTTACTCGCAGAGATAGCTTGTTGGGCTCAAAACCTCCTCGAGGACGATCCGAGATTTTTTGATGGAGACTCCGAATCCACCTACCCAAACACCTACTCGTGAAATTAGAATGGAAGCTTTTAGTGGAGGCAGAAAGTTCACTTGCTTATCAAAGCAGGCGCGGGGTCGCTTTTGGTCTGCGATTAATGCCCTATCCGCCACCTGGAGACGCCCCAACTAGCATCGCAACTAACCGGCTGTGAACCCTTTATGAGGAGTTTCGCAGTAGGAAATTTAGTAGCGGAAATTCCTGCAGATTTTGGAAGAATTTAGAAACATAAATATGCTGAATGCGATTGAAGTCGATGATTTTTAGAACTTTCAACTAACAAGCCCTTTCCTTTCTGCGATTAATGGTGTTCCTCTTTCCAAACGCGCTCTATCAAGGAATTTTTCAACTACTTCAATGCCATTTCGTCTAATTCTACACTCTAAAATGTGATATTTTCCATTGCAAGTGTTAGCTGCCGTTAGTAAGGATTGTCCGCAATTTTTTCTTACTTTCATTTGATGTTACTAAACGGTATTGCATTACTAACGATTGAGTCTCATCTTATTCGACCGAGAAACACGGCGTATTCGGCGTATATGTAAAATCATTGTGAGTATGAACTCTGGCTTTCTTACCGCACATTACCAGTAAATCCTACTGTCCCTTCAAAAATACCTTTAGTAACCTTCATAGGTGTTCCGTCAGCTAGTTTCCGCCTGTAAGCTCACTGACACTCAAATAAGAGTGCCTTGTTTTTTTTTGTAGGCCAGGGTTTATAGACGCATAGACCAGAGCTGACACATTTTCATTTTTTGGATACTTCCGTTTTTAAACACGAGCGCTTATATGGGATTGCTTATCTTCATCCACTAGTAACCTATTAGTGCTTGGACCGTCAGTTCTTCATATCTGTCTCTGCCTACGTTGTGCTGATGTTATGTTTATTTGTTCGCTTTACCTTCTCGGTACTCACTGAGTGTGATACAAATAAGCAAATAAACAAAATACTACCTGCGAGGGATTGCTAGCTACATGCTTGTTTACATTTCATAAACAAAAAATTTATTCAAAAATCTAGACTAAATCCAGCTTGATGAAGTCTTTGCAAAAAGGGCATCACTTGTGCAAAATTCAATGGTTGCACATTCCCAAGCTTTGCTAGCAAGCGTAAAAATCTGAAAAATTTTTCGGTCACAAAGACACAGTTGACTTCCTTGTAATCCCAGCTGCAACCATAGGGTAGTATCCTAACGCCTATTGCAGTAACAAGCAGAGTGGGATACTGAAAATACGTATGTAAGCCATGCAACATTTTCATTATATTGTATAAAATGCAAATGAAATGGATAGAAAGAGCAGCATGGTAGTATTATACCGCATACGAATGTTCCACAAAGGTACACTACCTCAATGATAACAGGTCCGTATTTTCTTTCAAATTCGTTATAGTAATGCGATTTGTATCGGTACGTTCTAAAATTGTATGGTAAACGCAGAGACCGTAACGACTAATGTGGTGGCCACTGCACGTACTTTTTGAATTTGTAACGGAACACCTTCCCTCCAGGGAAAAATTCGCCGTATTTTTGACCTGGTTTCGCCACTTCTGCTAGCGGGCATAAAAACAACTGTAAAATTTCTGTATCCTCAGTGAGAAGATTGGGTGATGTACATCAGTTAATGCTGCTAAGCACATACCGGATAAGACTTGGGTAGGACAAGAGTTATATTAGTAGAAACTTCCTTCTGTTGCATCTTTGTTTGTAGATATTTCCGAAGTTTCTTGTTCATGTAGTCACTTGTGGGCGAGATACACTCCGCGAATAGTCCCTTGGAAGGCTTTTTGACAGGTTTTTTCGCACTTTTCCCGCTTTTCGCGGTTTTTCCGCTTGTTATTGCGGCACTTGTACATAGCACTAGACCAAAGAATACCTAAATTCATATATTTGAGGTTTTCAGAAGCTAGAAGAAGAAATTACAAAGCTCACACAGAAACTCAGAGCGCTCCTCATTTTCTTCTTGACTACTGCTTCTCTCTTTCTTTTATAGTCTGAATAGACATACCGAATGTTCAGTAATTACAATTCACCAATTCAATCATTACTTGCAGTGGGCTCATTTCTGTGGATGTACTATAGTTCAGACTCTCCTCGCTTTTGCTCTGAGAAAATGCTTTCGCGGAAAATACTTGCCTATTCACAAAGGATTGATGGTTTCATGGGGTTAATAACGCAATTCTTGTGATTGTTAAGCGTTAGCAATCCGTTGTCGATAGACTGCATTTATGATTGCTTTGTAATGCCACTGTGGCGCTGTAGGGCCGGTACAAGACCACGCGGTACCACCTTGCACCGCATGCGCTGGCATCTGCTCTAATTTCGTCCGTGCTTTTCAATTTGCTCATGAAATCCCAGGATCGCAACATTCAGAGGCGCACAAGGGCAATCAGGTTGCACTTAAAATGTAATCATTTCAGGTCCTTTTTGTTTTCCTCTTATTGTTCTTCAAAGAGTTCCCCTTTTCAATATGGTTCAATATAAATGAATTTTACCACCCGTGTTACAGATGGGCGCCATGGGTCGTATTGTCCGAAATGCTAGTCTTTTTGGAAGAAATTCAAAACAAGTCTTCGAGAATTTTTCCCATGGGATATCGAAGGCGCTGATTGCCGAAATGTGATATTTCAGTCTTGGCAGTTTACGGTAGGGTTACGGTAGTCATTGTGTACGAACACAACATCATGGATGTTCATGAAAGACTGTGTTTTGGGGTTATTTCACGTGCTGATCACAATTACAGCGCCCACTTTGTTCACTACATCCCCACATTGGGACTACGGTAGCAGTACGGTAGAATTTTCGTAAGAATCAAGAAACTGGCGTAAGAAGGCGGTATTAGAACTTGAAAAGACTATCGTTTTCATAATCAGCATGCTATAAAACCTATATATGTAAGGCTTGAGCTTCCTGAGATAAACAATGCGAAAAATCAATAAAATCAACAAAATCGATAATTTTTGTAGGGCTGGCATCAGTCTCGTGCCCTCCCTGTATTTCTCATGCATGTAAACTTGAATTTTCAAAAACAGCACCACTCTGCGAAATTGAGCTAAGGTCTGTGCCTTACCTCTATCTAAGGTATACCTACCGTAACATTATATACAGTATCCCGAACCTGAACCAGTCTGGCTGGAGCTTCGCCAAGGTGTCCTCAGTCATGTGCCAGAACCCCGTAGAATTCCATCATATACCGGCAAAGCTAGAGCTTCAGAAATCTTACGACGCACCAGTGGGTCGTATAGTTTGAGATGGCAGAACACGTGCGACCCACCGATTAGTCTTACTGTCGTGAACGTGTTAAGTGCCGCAAGGTGGAGTTTGTCAACCAGCTTTCAAAATGGATAAAATAGAGTACTGGCCTATGATGATATTTCATAATTAAGAAGGTACAATAAAGCAACCAAGGCGTTAATTCAAACCATTTTGACCCTATAGCTACATCTGCAAAAAAGTAGCAAACAGATCTGCGTATACAGTCATTTGGCGGAAGCGCAAATTTGGGGCCTATCTTTCTGAAGCAAGGCTTGAATTTCAAAATTTTTGTTTGCTAAAATTTCCTTTGACCGTGAAGTTTGTGGGATCAAATTGAATACACACTTTTTATAACCATAGAACGATTGATTGGAGAAGCAAACGGCATTTCAGAGTGCTGCAGATTCGTTAAATAGTATTTTCACAGAACTGTGTGCCGATAAAGTCAACAGTCCAGTTATACGATACTAGAAACTGAGTTTCTGAATTGACTGAGTGCCGGAAACACAAACTCTTTTCATGTCCATTACAAGGGATTTTACATCAGTTTGCCATAAAATTAGCCGATATGCACTTCCATTTACTCCATTGATCAAACATGACTTGCAAATTTTATTCTTAAGTTTGGAAAAAACTCAAAAATCTCCGGGTTTTTTTTTCGAGATGAAATGCGCTGAAAGTTTTATCTTTAAACAACTATTCTGAATGAATTTTATAGCTACTATGCGCGTCTTCTATCATTGTAGATGCTTACTAACATAATGGAAAGCATTTACTGCATTGTTTTTTGTATGCTTCCTGCATTAAATTTTATTTCTTATCTCTGAATTTGTGTTGAATTTAAATTTTATTCAATTCGCATAAACAAATGCAACAAGTTCACCTTTTTCAAAAAAGGGAATAGTTCTGCGGTATCCATCGGTTCCATTTCTCCAAGTCGTGCTAACAGGAGTATAAATTGGAAGAATTTCTTTGTGACAAAAATACAGTTGACCTCTAGGTCATCCCAGGCACAGCCAAAAGGTAAGACTCTGACGTTTCCAGCAACCAAAGGAGGATACTGAAATTTGTTTTACGCATTACATTGTAACGAAAAAAATGAGAAATATGAAGGAACTGATTTCAAAATGGAAAGCAACAACGCACGCATGGAGACTTGAATTTTAGCTCTTTACCTTTGCAATTCTTTTGCCGTGTGCATATTCAAATTCAAGATAGTTATTTCTCAGCCTCCTCTTCGGGCTGAAATACAATGGGGCTCAAAACAAAGTATTTATCTCATGTAGCAGCTACCTGCGTTTCTTGAATTTGTACCTAGCAGTCTTTACTCCAGGAAAGAACCCTTCGTATTTTTGCGCTGTTCGTGCAATTTCAGCGAGCGGACATAAGTGCAGCTAAATCATAATTGTTTTGCACGAAAGATCACGATTCACCATCAATGCCGTGATGCAGAAGTATCAATGATTTTACTTGACGAACCGCTACAAACTTTTGCATTTCATGTTCTTCAACTTCATTGAACTCGCTGCTTGCTTTCATGCTATTTTCAAGAAATTGTCGAAGCAGCTTGTTTTGAAAATCGTTCCATTTTGAGATGCACTCAAATTTAACGAATTTTTTGGGCCGCTTCCAGACTGAAGGCACATTTTTCTTTCCTTTCACTTTGTCTAAACTCTTCGGGACACTTGTGCACAATGAAAGAACAGTCAGTACCTGAATATTGCAAATGATAGAATGAGCAAATGAAGAGAAACTTGAAGGGACGTCTACGAAACTCACGCTCAGGATGAAAGCGCCTTTCATTTTCCATGAAGTCCATTCTCACTTGTCTTTTATACTGCTAACAAGCTAATACAAAAAGCTTACTTTGCTTGCTGGACCCTAGATAAATGCGCCTATCTGCGTCTGGCTTTGTAGATCTGAGTGCCAAAAGAGCTGAAATATCATGAATTATCGAAAGCTTTGGATGAGAAGGATTGTCTTTCGATGTTATTGTTATTCTCTCGTAAAAGCATTTGCAGAATTATTGCAATACTTTCAACGATAAAACGTTTGAAACACTGTCGCATCCGTAGTGCACAATACAAAAGCATCATAGCATGGAACACTTACAGACAGAGTCAAACATTCAAGATAGGGAGGAGCGCTTGATGCCTGCAGTAAGTAACAATCAGTTCAACTTCTTGTAGGAAATGAATGGAGTATCGATATCGATTCATAACGAGGGCTCGGCACAGGTGGCTTATAAGCAAGGAGGATATCATTTTTGGGACAAAAAGCAAATGGGGTTTTGTTTTTGGCCGAAAAGGCGCAAAATTTGCGACTTTTTTGGCCGACGTTTCGTTTTTCGAAAATTTTTTAGGGATTGTGGTCTAGGGTCAAAGAGGACTTTGCAAAATTCGCATAAGTCAAAGGAAACTTCGTTTTTTGCATTTTCAATTAGCTACCTCGTGCCCAGCCCTGTTCATAACAAAAAGTAGCCTGCAACATGCATGAAATGTACAATGGCTTTTCTGATCCGCAAAATATCTACGAATTCAGATCAGGGGCAGAATAAGCTGTACGCATTGAAGTAATGTTTTTGACGGTCTGCCAAACAGCTTTAGAAACAGAAGTATCTAACATCATCTTCCTGAATAATCAGAAGCGGTATGTCTGGCGCAAGCGAAAGTAGTGGCAGACGAAGAAAGCTACTCAACATATAACTGTAAAAAAAGTAAAGATCTTATTCAATTGGTTAAGAAGTTTTACCAGAGTTTTGTACTGCCTACCTACCAACGTGAGTTCACTCTGTTTTTTAATTTGAATTCATCCTCCAATTCAACAACTTCAGAAACAAACACTAACATTACATCTATGTCATGCTGTGTAAGCGTAAGTTGTCCTCAACAAATCTACTTGAAAAAAGCTTCTACTTTTAAGGTAATTTCTGAGGAGTCTTCGAAGAATTGTCCGAACAGCGGAAGAGTACCGATTCTCGTATTGTCATAGAGCAAATATTTGAACTAGACTATTAAACCAGCAATCTAAAGGTATTTGGAAGAGCGTTCGCTTCGGAATCGCCGCGCAGTTTCCCGCTATTTGCAGATTTTTGAAATCAGTCAACGATTTTTTATATATTAGACTAGACATAATTGTAAGTTTTATCAAGACACCAACAGCAAACTACAATACCGCTCACAGAATGTGCAAAATTTCCGTGAATGTCGCAGAATTCCAGGAATTCCGCGAAGGTTCGCGAAATTTCGGGAATTTTGCGACATTCCTGGAATTCCGCGAAAATCCGGAAATTTCGCGAACCTTCGCGGAATTCCTTGAATTCTGCGACATTCACGGAAATTTTGCACATTCTGTGAGCGGTATTGTATTATCTGATTTTTTTGAAATGAACGTTGATGTAAAGCCCAGTGCAGTCTCCTTTAAAGCAGAAACCTTAGTGGATTGTTTACGACGTTCAAAGATATTAAGCTAAAGATGGAAAAGACCATGTTCGTATCGAGTTAGAAATGAGAAGAGCTTGAATTATGAAAATTTTAACGATGCGCCGTTCTCAGTGGTGGATATAAATTTTGAATAACGTCAACACATCTCTATCTCTCCTTTCCTTCCACCCACATACCGCCTCGATTTTTCTTTTTTGGATATTTAAGTGTGTTTCAAACATGAGACTTGGTTCTTGATTTAGGTAGGATGATGTGGTCTTCTCGCTATACTATATCTATTTTTGTGGCGCGCGATGTGCCAAGATCTGCATTCATCAGGTCTGGAATGCACCTCGAGTTTCATTTTTTGATAGAGTAGCCCTTTAAACAAATTTACTCAAGTTGTCTAATTTATAGGAACTTGATGGACGAAGAATTCCAAGAGTACCAATGCTTTGCTGGGATAGAGTCTGAAGAGCACTTCCTATAATTCTCCGAAGTTTTTTTGTCGGAAAGCAGTGTGCTGTTTCTCAGTGGTTCAAAGAATGCCTTACAGTACACCTTCCCAGGGATGTCTCTCAACTAAAGCTTTGCGATATCGAGACAACGAAGTGAACAGACAATGTAGCCATTTCAGCCTACAATCTCTGTGAATTATGGAGAGGTTCACATAAACACTCTTGTTTGTTATTCGCTTTGCAATTCAACCTTTTCAAAAATCGGAATCAAACTGAGACGAAACAAAGAATGTTATTGAGCTAGATTCATAAAGTATGCCCAGTTCGCTTGGAAAAAAACAGTTTGGATTTTGTTTTTTCGATAGCATATACTACTGCGTTCCTAGTAATTTTGAAGATAAAACCTCAATCAAGCCTGTTTTTAAAACATCACCGCATATGCATCACTTCGAGTGGAAGGGTTTCAAAAACTTTATGTTCGATGTTATTGAGCTTAAAATGATATTTGGAGGTTCTGAGTTGAGACAAAGCAGTGCAGCAGAACTTAACTCCCCAATTAAACATCATTAATCAGTTTAATGAAAAGTGCGTGCTGTGAGAAAGCAATATTGTCGAATCTGTCGGTGAACTAAGTAGGTGTTGCTGACATGCGAAATCGATTTTTCTGATTGCGAAGGATGATATTACACATTTTGACATACCTCACGCGATTTCAATCGCCATGCGATCTGGCAATTTGCCAGATGTCTTCAAATTCAATACTGGTAGACCCCAAATGCACAGCATGTATAGCTTTCGTAGGTTGATAAAATGCCCCACCTCCCGTACATTCAGAAACCCGTATGATGAGTTATGAACATTTGGAGTATTGCCAAATCGCGTGGCGACTGAAATCGCGTAAGGTATGCCCGAGGCCTTATTCCCTGGACAGACTTCACGCGATTTGATCGTCGCGACTCAATCGCCGACTTTTCCATTCATTTTCATTTCACATTCAAAAATTTCGGGCTGGAAAAGTATCACAACCGAAATGCAAGTTGATCGGCATGGAATGATGTTGTAACCGTTGTCTCGTCGCGGTTCAGTCGCGACGATCAAATCGCGTGAAGTCTGCCCGGGGCCTTACACGACTTCTTCTAGAGCGTAACATTAACTTTGCGAGAGATAATTATATCCTCCATAAATGGTAGTGTTTATTTTGAAGCATTTTCGCTTTGCTGGATTTCTAACGGGCTTGCCTCAAATCATTAAACTTGAAAAGGTCTCCGTCCCAGAGTGCACTTCCGACGAAAGTATTTTCGCAGAAGTTCTCTCCAGATAAAATCTGCAGCAATTTGAAGCACTGAATACAGTTACACAATCTGTTTTTGGTAGCAACTGGACAACAAAACTAGACTCAGATATGCCAGCGTTGGATACGGACTGCAGTGGACACCTCCTGCTGAACATATTTATACTTAGCACCGCTGTCAACGGACTACGAACGCTTGAGACTAGGTCGGCGTGTGCATATTGAAATCAGAAGAGACTATGCTTCTCAAATGGTATGGTATTCTTCTGAAAGCACCACTGGGACTGAAAAATGATTAATTTGTTAGTGACGTTGCATTAGTCACTCCACTATACGGTAGTGCTTAGGCAAGTGTATTTTGATAAGTAAATAGAAGAATGAATTGAGAGAATTTCTCATTCATGTGTGCGTTACAAAATCTTTCTTAGACTGTTACTGCGATTGTTGATAGGGTATTGTTGTCTCAAGGTTAATGCTTGCTTTAGTTTGTTTCAAGAATGTAAGCATATCGGCCAAAACAATTTTTGAGAAGGCGTGCCCCTGACTTTACAAAGGTGGGTATATAAAACTAGTTCTCCTGTCTTAGGCGACGTGCCTACTTTGCTCTTCTCTTCTTATCTTTCGAGCATGCTCAACGGACTACGAAAAAGAGTATAACTTCAGCACGATAAAGCACACAAAAGAGTGCTTCCTCCGATATGCTCAACAAATTAGTCCTGGCGGGTGAACAGAAAAGAAAACAACCGGAAGTCATCACCAAAGGAAAGTCTAAAATGTAACTTACTAGTAATTTTGGGCAAACAAGTTTCATCAGGTTTTTTCCAGGATTTGTAAATCACTGGTCGGGTTGTGCACATGTAGAGGAAGAATTGTGAAAATACTGGGTTTTAGTTCACCAAAAATTTTTGTTTCACAGGAGATCGCCAAGTAATTCAACGGAATGATGTAACATTAAGTATCATTTCGTACGTAAGACAACTAGAAACGCTGACAGTCGTAAAGTCCAAGAAAGTTTTTTGTAACGCAAAAATTTTGTCTGCAGCCTTCCACGTATTTATTCATGCATGCCTTTATGTTTTCATGTACTTAATCAATTTTCATTGACACTTGATACTCATCCCTAAAACCCATTTTACCTTCCTATCCTTGGTTGAAACCATCTGGTTTAGAGTAAGGTTTGTATTCACCACTTCGCTTGAGATACATTTTTTAATAAGGAAAGCAGCTGGCAGTTTTGAAAGGTTTCGAGCATTATGACTGGAGGACAAGACACGGAGAAAAAACAGCGTTCGTCTCAATGATATTATAGAATAGTACAATTTGGAGACAAGTAATGAAAAGTTTGACAAATCACGACTCTAGGTCAGA